TAAATAAATAAATAAATTCAGTTCTGCAGTTTCAACTTCCCAATAGATTACAGGTATGTGCCACCACACTTAGCTTGAAGTATTTTTAAAGCCCTTTTTGGATGTTCACTGTGTTTCTACCAAGAGCTGTAAGAGGTCAAGTGTGAGGAGCTCGCCACGTGCCCTTAGAAAGAAGCATTGCAGTTGGGCAGTGATGGCGCACGCCTTTCATCCCAGCACTCAGAAAGCAAAGGCAGGTGGCTCTCTGTGAGTACAACGAGAGCCTGGTTCTACAGAGCAAGTTCCCAGACAGGCTCCAACGCTGTCTTGAAAAAAACAAAAACAAACAAACAACAATAACAAAAAGAGGCAATGCAGCAAAGAGAACTACACAGACATAGCCTTTTTCCCCCTTCTTTTTATTATGAAAACAAAACAAACACCCCAGGAGAAAGGTTCATGATTACCAGAGACACCAGAGTACTTCCTACCGTTTTTTTAACTCTGTGGTGTTGAGGCCGGCATTGCAAAAAACAAGCTAAAACTACTTACAATGGACTCATTTTCAGTAACTGACATTTACAGGAATATACTAGAAACGGCACTAAAAAGTTTAAGAAAAGTTACGGTAAACTTGCATGCACATCATACAGAAAAGAAACATTTTAAATATATATATAAAAAAGAAAAGCTTCTGGAAGTGTTATGCCAGCAGCAGGGACAATGATAAACAGGATGACGAAGCTTTAACAGTGGGTTTGTTTCCCAAATGACTGGAAAAGGTGTGACAGCTGCAAAAGGAAAAACCAAGAAAACCACAGAAAAAATGTCTCCAGTCTGTAAGCAAGCTAAGTTACACAGCCTGAGGAGGTCTGACCCCTCGGCCCCCAAGACTCTGCCAAGTGCCTACCCCACCCCTGCATGTAATCCTCAAGGAGGTCAGGACAGCTGCCCTCCACTGCTGTACAGGACAATCTAAGTCCATGTAGCCTTTGTAACTCAGAAGAAGGGAATGGCAGTTACCCTGCAGCCTGGCATTGTGGGAACCAATGTCCTCCAAAACTCTGGAGACAAAACAGTTTTAAGTCTGGACAGAAAGCTTAAAAAAAAAAAAATAAAAAGTTAAAAGCACCAATGACAGAAGCTGCTCAGTAGGGACCACAGTCGTGGAAATGCCAGACCCTCCATCCTGTGCAACCAGCTCTACACCACTGCCCCGCTGCTGGGATGCCACTCCAGAGCCGGACTCTGCTTGCCTAACAGCTCACGGAGGCACTCTATGCAGCCCAGGCACTGTGCCTTGCCCAGGCATGCTGGCTAGGCTGTCATGGTAGGCCACCACTGAGACCCCATGTGAAGGCCTGTCAATTTCCTCATGTTTATTTCTTAGTCACAGCTTAAATATTCTATTAAAGATCTGTTTAAAAAATACCTTTGAAAAACAAGGGTAACTTTAAAAAAATGGAACCTTAAAATCCACTTATATTTTATTATAAACAAAACTGGCTTACAAGTTTAACAAACTGACTGATAACTCACCAGGCGTCTAGACATGGTAGCCAGCCAGCCACTTCCCGAGCTTGATGCCCACTGCCTGCCCACATTCACGGGCTAGTGGGACTGCCTTTAACTTCTCCCATGTGGGATGTTACGGGTGAGTCCCTGGCTCTGCCTAGAAGCAAAGGAAGAAACTGCAGAGCCCCCACCACAAGTGAAACCATACAACACAAGGCTCTGCACTTGGCTCTCTGAGGTGGGGCCGGGAGAATCAGTTTTCAGGGCTAACTGGAAATTCTTGAACAGGGACCCCTGCGATCATCAGGCTCACCTTTGCCCCTGTCAAAAGGGGAGAGGTCAGGAAGAGCCTCTGCAGGCTGGAGAGGCAGGTACTTACAGGCCTGGGAGATTGGCCCATGTGCTCCTGGTTGAGGCCACAATGCTCAGAGCTAATCCAGACTGACCCTGAATTCCAAAATCATTTGGCAGCCTCAACAACAACAAACCGATCAGAACTTTCTGTTAAACTCTGTATATTATTACTTTTTACAATAGAAAATTAAATGTCAAGGACTTGGCCTGATATACATCGTTTTTCTCTCAGCTTACAAAGCTTGTGTTGAAGAACCGAGGTTCCCTCCGTTGATGTTAGTAAGAAAGAACTGAACAGACAACATAAAATGAGAATGTGCTGCAGCCGAAGGGTGTCTACATTTGTAAAATCCCCAAACTTCATCTAAAACAAAACAAACAAACAAACAAAAACACCCAGAGAGCCCAGACGTGATGAGCACCAGAAGGGCTGGCCGCCACAGGACCGTATCTCACCACGGGTCCAGTCTCCTCGCCAGAGGCCTGTATCTCCACTACTTCTCTTAATGCACTTATTTATGGTTTTTTTCTTTTCTTTTTTTTCCTTTTTTTTTAAAAATGACCAATGATGTTAATAAATAAAGTATTTATATATACATAAAACTGGGGAGGTGGTTCAGAGTGTGAGGTGGCGGCAGCCAGGCAGCGCTAGCAAAGTGGGGCACGCTGGACTGGACTTCTGTAGAAAATGGATGAACTTACAAAAAAGTTTTTTTGTTATTGTTTTGCATTTTGTTTTTTTTTTTTTAATCTTTTTTTGTTTTGTTTTTATTTCCTTAAGTTGAGGTAAAAGTTTCGGTGTCCTGAAACCTGCACGCTGCACAGCCATAGGGCCAGAGAACTCAGCACCCCTCTTCCTCCACACCCAACCCAGAGGTGGGAGGCTCTGGTCTGCAGCTACGAGGACCCTCTGCTGGGGCCCAGCCTGGTTTCCGTGGGCTGACACATCTGTCCTCAGCCCCTGCAGAGAGAAGTAACCTGCTGGTTAGTGTTCTAACAGCTTTCAAACACAGAACCCATTCTAGACCAAAACCCTTGAAGGCTTCCTTCAAGTTACTAAGGGCGAGGCTGGGCCTGAAGAGGTATTGGGCAGGTCCAGCCACACCTCCCACTGTGTCTATGGTTATCAGGTTAGCATCCCAGGCCGCAGTCTCCAAACAACTAAACCAAGCTGCAAAGGCATTTCCCGCAGAGCTCGGCCCTCTCTTGGGGTCTGGTGCACGTGCGAGGCTCTCCGCCCTACCGGAGCACAGCTGGAAGAGATCATAACACTGAAGTAAAAGAAAACCTGCACACCATGGAACGAAAGTATATTAACCATAGGAGGGGACACTGCAGTCGGCGTGTGCCACGTCCATCTGTCCAGCTCTGTTCCAGTCCAAGTTCACTCTGAGTCACTGCTGTCGGAGCTGGACCCACTGGAGCTGCTGCTCGCAGACTCAGAGGAGCTGCTACTGCTGAGCCTTGATGGGCCTCCCGAGGGCGCTGAGCTGGACTTCTCTGTAGGGACACCAAGGAGGCCCTCGCTGAGCAGTGTGTGATGAAGTGTTCACACCACTACCCTGTCACAGGTTATCTGTGTCCTGACCCAGAGGTACAGCAAATATGTGAAGGATGCTCATAAAATAGCATTCAGTGGCCACATGGCCACACTAGGACACAAGTCACAGACCCTCACTGCCCTATCTGACACTAGGAAGATAGAAACCACAAGACTACAGCACTTGGTATGCAAGCCCAGGTGCGACCCCAGCTGGCCAATGGTCTCAGACTTTGTCCACTGCTATTCTAGAACATCTCTGAAACAAAGGGAAAAGGTCTCAAACTCCAGAAAGAAGAAGAGACAAAAATACCCACTCACTTAAATCTAAGGCCTGGGCAGGAGACAGGGCTTGCCATCGCACCAATTTAATATGTTGGGTTAGAAAGCCAGAAACTAGCTGCTTTCTACAAGTTGGTGATTGATGCTTTGGGATGGATCCCAGGCCTTCAGCATTGAGGCCAGCCCTAAGAAGCTCTTTTCAGGAACCCACTGTGTGGGCCTTTAGGAGCTTACACGCACGCGCACACACACGCATGATTCTGCAACCTCCCAAGGGCCAAGGATGCCCCCACCCCTAGTTGTAAATAAATCTAAGAGATACGAAGCTGGAGAGATGGCTCAGAGGTTAAGAGCACTGCCTGCTCTTCCAAAGGTCCTGAGTTCAATTCCCAGCAACCACATAGTGGCTCACAAACATCTGTAATGAGGTCTGGTGCCCTCTTCTGGCCTGCAGGCATACACACAGACAGAATATTGTATACATAATAAATAAATAAATATTTTTAAAAAAAATCTAAGAGATACTAGGAGGTTGATCAAACTCTCCTGGTCCTTATGACTGCTGTCCTCTGATGGCCTGGATTGTTACCTTTCTTAGTGGGTTTCTTGCTGTTCAGTTGTCCACTGACATCCTGTAGCCGCTTCTCCAGCTCCTTTTTCTTCTCCTGAGCTAGCTCCTCTTTCGATTTGGCTGCCTGCTTCTTCCCACTTGTTGCTGTAGAATGGCAGGTGAGCAGTGAGACATTCCCTATAGCTGTGCCAGCAGTCAGTAGCCAAACAGGCAGCCAAAAAGTCCCAGTCCCACACACTAGTGCATGCACCACCCGCCTTGTTGCAGGATCAGTGTCTCTGGTGCAGAGCTGTTATCGGATCCCTGTGTAGTAGGAAACACCAGTGACCTGGAACCACCATGACACATCTTCAGAGTCTTCCCTCATCTCTACACCTTACCAGAATCCAGAGTCTGGGCTATGACTTGTCCTCTGTTCCCACGGGAAGGGCATAGACCCTCTGTCTCAGTCCTCCTTCAGCACAGCTATTCGCTCCTGCCTAAGCCAGAGACTGACATGGTCTGGCAAAGTTACGCCTTCACCATCAGATTTATCATTATCACCCTCAAGTCAGTCTGTTCTAGAGTAAATGAGGATCAAACACATATGAGCAGCCACATTTAGGTTGACATGAGTCTAGATAGTGAGGGGCTGGCTGCCTTGGGACTTCCCTTCTTCCCAGCCTCTAGCACCTGCAGACTCTGGCAGTGGCTGGTTCCTGTCTGGTGAAACCATCAAATTCAGGGCGCACTTTACCTAGGGTCAGAGTCTATCCTGCAGAGATTCTGAATACTTCATAAGTCAAGGGAGTGAGACTCTTCCCTGCAGTCAAAGCCCCAGATGGAGCTTTAGGAGGGGAGAGAGAAGGGCCCTAACTGGACATGAACAAATGGGCTAGGCCAACCCCAAGTCCTACCTTTCCACTACAGCCAGTTAAGGCCTAAGAGGCATCTTCCTTACCAGATAACAGGGAAGAAGATATGGGGGCAGGCATGTACTGGCTGAGTGCAGATGTCCTTGGGGCCTGTGGCAGGCAGGTAGGCTTAGACAGTAAGGCAGCGGTGAGCCAGTGCCTAGTCTCAGGGGCTGCAGAGGCTATGAGCAACATGCTCTGCCAGAAAACTTACACAATGGTTTCCTCTGCTTTTTCTGTAAACAAGACTTGACATATCTCTCCAGTTCCCGTAGCGTGGTTGGTTTCAGGGTCTCAAAGTCAATTTCAATCTCATCTGGGTTTGAGTCCCTGAGCGAGGGCTCCCGGGACTGGATGATGTGCACCACACGGCCTAGCTTCTCGCCAGGCAACCGGTTGATGTCCAGGCTGAGTTGACGCTTTTCATCATAGCTCATGGGCAGGCCCTCCTCCTCTTCCTCTGAGTCATAGGATGCAGATGCCTGCTTGCCACCCTTCTTTAGCTGTCTAAGGAAGAAGACAGGGAGCCATGTGACATTGAGTCTCAGTTATCTGTCCCACCACCTAGCCGTCTTCTTCTCCACTACAGATTGCTCTCTTCCCTAGGGGTGTACCCAAGGTTCCTAAGGAACAAAAGCTGGGCCACTGATGTCTATAGTCTGCCCGCCACGGACAGGCAAGACCATATTTCAGGGTCACAACATGTGTTTCCTGGCCCAGGGCCCAGTCAGAAACTACCTTTCAAACCCAACAAGTTTCCACATTCAGATAATTTGCAATGTGGCAGGAATAGAAAAACAGGCGCAGAGAGAGTGATGACATGGTAGATGAAATCCAACTGTGTCAATTATTACACTAAATTCAAGTGGCTGATGACCTGGACTGGAGAGATGGCTCAGCAGTTAAGAGCACTGTTTTTCCAAAGATATCGAGTTCAATTCCCAGCAACCACATGGCAGCTCACAACCATTTGTAATGTGATCTGTGCCCTCTTCTGGCCTACAGTTATATGTACAGGCAGAACACTGTATATATAATAAATAAATCTTTAAAAAAAAAAAAAGTTTGGAGAAACAAGACCCTTCAGTGTCAGTTAAAGGAAAAAAGACAGGAAAACACAATACAAACTTCAACAGGCAAAATGGTCATAAATGCAAACCCAGTGTGGACTACACTGGGAGACCCTGTCTCTGAAGGGGTGGGAAAGTCAGAAACGGCCATATTTATATTCTTATAAAGAGGGCTTGAGGGGTTGGTGAGATGGCTTAATGGATGAAGGCCTGATACCTCGAGTTCAATCCCCAGTATACACATCTAATAGAATGGGAGAACCCCAACCCCCTCTTGTAAAACTGTCCCCTGACCTCCACATGTACATGCATTTGCGCGCACACACAATTTTCTAATTATGTTTCGAGACGGGTTCTCACAATGCAGCCCTGGCTGCCCTGGAATGTACCATGTAGGTGAGACTGGCCTTGACTTCACAGAGCTCTGACTGCCACCATTTCCTGAGTGTTGGGATTAAAAACACCTGGCTTTGTTTTTAATACAAATTTAAAATTTAATTTTAATTTCCGTGAGTTAGAAGCCAACCTAATTTACACAGTGAGTTTTAGGACAGGGACACATAGACCCTGTCTCAAAAATTAAAAGCAACAAGGACGGTTTCAGGTCAAGCAATATTGTCTGGAAGAGACTGGAGTCTATCTACATCATGTGTCAACAGCCCATGAAGATACTTTAGTCCCACAGATGTATGCATTAAAGCCAGGCCACAAAATGCGGAGTGGAGGAGTCCCACAACATAGTCAACCCCCAGGAAATAAAAGTAAACAATCTTTTTAAAAATTGTACCTAATTGAAGGTGGGTGATGATAATATACACCTTTAATCCCAGCACTCTGGAGGCAGAGGCAAATACATTTCTATGAGTTTGAGGTCAGCCTGATCTACAGAGCAAGTTCCAGGACAGCCAAGGCTACATGGAGAAACTCTGTCTCAGAAAAACAAAACAAAACAAAAAGTCCTTAATTACTCTGGAATATTATATCCCACCATTTCAGGGAACAGCATTAACATGGATACCAAATCCAGATAAAGACAATATGAGAAAAACTGATTTCTGTATCCCCTCGAGGAGAGAAAAGAGAAGTGAACAAAGCCCTAGGCAGATGGAAAGAGAGATGGCCTGCATGGCCTCTTCTTGGCTGATGGTCCCAGGGCTGCACACACTTTTCTTCTGAATCCAGGCACTAAAGCCTTCCCAACTCAGTCCCAAGCAGCCATTAAAGCCTCTCTGCTGCCACCAATATTTCAAGGCTATGTCCTCACTTCCAAAACTACCACTCACAGACTTGTCCTCCACAATGGCCAGAATCAGATCCTCTCTCTGAGGATGCCTTACCAGAGCAGGGAACCTTGGCAGCCTACCCTTAACCTCTCCCTAGTGGTGACTCCCCTCCAGAAATATCAATTCCATACTAATTCCCCAAAGGAGCATGTCTGCTAGCCTTGCCTGAGGCTTTGGACCTTGCTTCTACTGCCTACCTGCCTATCTGCTCAACAGCTCATAAGTTGCTGCTTCCACCTAGCTAGAAAGAATCCTGTCTCCTGCTCTTTCCTACTTCAACCCTTTGTCTACCTGTTATACCAGAAATTAGAGCACTTGGCTGCACAGCAAAGCCCCTTGGCTCACGTCACGAAAAGGTCCCAAACACTGAAAGCACCAGATGCCTCCTCTGGCAGTGCAAATGTTCTAACGCCCAGCATTAGAGCCAGCCAGCCAGGTGAGAGTGACCTCCCCAGCAGGCCCCAGAGGCATTCACAGTCACCCCAAAGTCCCAACCCCAGTATCCATGTAGCCAAGGTGCAAAGTCCCAGATCTGACAGTCCTTGTGACCTGAGGTGGTCTGAGAGCCTGAGAGGTGGCCACCCACCTGCTGGCTGTGGTTGTGCTATTGGCCTTCTTGGTGGGAGCCTTCTTCTGCTGGGCCTGTTTGGCTGGTGGGGCGGCCTTGGCCTTCTTCTCCTCCTCGGACTTGGCCTTGTGCTTCTCCTTCTCTTTGTCTTTGTCCTTGTCTTTCTTCTTCTTCTCCTTCTCCTTCTTCTCCTTTTTCTTCTTTGGTTTGTTCACTGGGGCCTGAGACAAGGCGGCCAGCTGTTCATGCACGGCCTTCAGCTGGAAAAGAGCAGGCAGCTAAGCGAGCAGTCTGGGTAGGCCTGTGCCCCTGTGGCTGCCTCAGCTACATGGGATAAGCAACGGGCATCTGGGCCCCCCGCTCTGCCTTTGTAAGCCAGAGTGATATAGGGAAGCACTTCACAGCCCACTCTGCCCCTCTCTCTGTGCCTGCCGGTGAGTCACTTCACCTTTCTGAACCTGTTCCCTCGCCTCTGGGGACAGGGACCCACCTCCCAGGGTGGCTGCCCATAGGCTGGGCTTGGGGCAGGTGACACGGGAGGAACTTGCTAACAGCAGCTAATACTTTCATTATTAATGCTTATCTTTCGGAAGACGACTAGAGTGTGAGCACCTGCACAGAGGAGACATTCAACAGCTGATCCTGGAAGGTTCCGCAGCCAGTCTGCGGGATCAAAGTGAGACAATGGCAGCAGCTCATCCTCCTGGTGCCCACCAGCAGCCAGCAAGACAGAATGCTGCATTTATGTCTCGGGGAGAAGGATTGTGACCCATGTTGTATTGGCAATCAGGTAGCCTGTATGGCTCCTGGGTATCCTGGGAAAAGCTACATAGCCAACAGGGAAAGGCACCATGCACTGGGAAGGAAAGGCCGGCTAATTCCCTGCTCCACGTCCTCATCATCTCAGAATCCGACATGTAGCTTCTTCTGGCAATACTCTACTCTCCTGGCCCGTCCTCCCCCTGGAGCCACCTGCTCAAGCATACTACTTTGCCTTGGTGGCTACATTCTGACTTCACAGGGCTGGCTGTAATACCCTGGGAAAATAGTTCATACTGTTGGGCCGATCTCAAAACAAGTCATGTCATTCTGCATATCAGGGAGACTGAGGCAGAGGAGGTCACAGGAGGCACAGATCTGAATTCTTGGAGCCTGCAGCACAACCACTATAGCCACTGCTTAAAAAGCATCTTTGTGGCCTGTTTGACTTCCAGCCCGCCAGGGGTCCAAGAATGTCTCGGTCGCCTGTGTGCTCCGGGAAGCCTCCTCAGACCCAGGAAGGTGCTGTATGAGCAACCCCACCAGAGACCCTCTAACAGCGCTACAGATGAAGACTGCAGCAGCGGGAGGAAAGACAAGCTTAGGCAGTTAGGCTTGGTGGTCCATACCCACTGGGAAACAGCATAGAAGTGGCTGTCCTCACCTGCTCCTGCAGCTCTGCCAGCCGAGTGGCTCGCTCCTCCTCTGAGTCTGAGCTGCCTGAGTCTGAAGAGCTCTCCTCGCTACTACGACTGCTCTCAGCACCTTTGCTCACTATAGGGGCTGTAGGAGCGGGCAGTGCAGGTGCCTCCATAGGCTCATCAGGCATCTTGGCAAATCTCATCTCAAACACATCCTGGGGGGAAAAAAGGGACAGCTAAACACCTACATACCCACAAGACAGCCCCTCCAACATGTAAGATGCCTCTGAGCTGCACCACACCACACACAGTTCAGGTTCTATGGAGGCATAGGCCTGCCACCTTCCTTTGTCCCCTACGATCCTCAGGCAATTTGCAAGTGCAGGCCTAGAATGAGGGAACGAGGCCAGCCAATCACAGACCTGAGTTTCTGGGGCCTGGCATGCAGCTCCCCTGGTTAATCTGCAAGTCTGTGTAGAAGGACAGTCATACAGCCCTGGATGCCAGGCTCCTCAGGAATGCCCTCTGTTAACAAGAGTACCCTTCCTTCAGTCCTCAACTCCAGTAGGAATTCTAGCCACTGAGAGCTGGCTCCTGTCTCACCTTATCCCCTTTCTGGGGTTGTACTACAGTGACACACCTCATACCCAGTGAATACCAAAATGGGCAGAGCTGTATCTCAGCAAAGCTAAATTTGGAAAGTCCCTCACAGCTCCTTCAGGACCAGGCACTTGGAAAACCCTCTGGATGAAAATCACTCTATCCTGGGGCAAAAAGGGATGAGGGGGCCATGTGGAAATAAGGGGGCATTCCCTTGCCTGCCTCATATACTCGGTCCACCCGGACACGTGTGAGAGTGCACGCATGTGCACACCCATCATGCTGGAGCCCAGATTCTCAAAGTGCCTCCTCTGAGTGTGCTCTCAGACTCTTCCCAACCCTTAGATCCCCAAACTAAGAAGTCAGAGGTCTGGGAGGCTGTAATTAGGTCAGAGGTCAGAGGTTGGCAAGTCATTAGGGTGTTGGTCTCTAGCCCCCAGTGCCTAGTTCATAAAATTAACAGTAATGAGTATTGAACAACACTAATAACAAAGCTCTTCCAGCCTCGGGGACTGGGTGACTAACAATCATCTTCAACAGGACAGTACAGTGCCCTTCGACATTGTATGGTGATGCCTTCAGAGTCCAAGCACAGAGAGCAAGGTCTTAGCAGTAGACAGGCCCTAAGGCTGCCTCTGCATGTAAGGGGACCTCCATGACCACTGTGCACTGTTTCCCAGCAGTGCCATTTTCAAAAAAAGTGAAAACACTAGGAGGACCCACAAATGAGAAAAAAGGCTTTGCCCAGCAGTCCTCATAACCCAAGATGGCTTTCAGGGACCTCAGGACATGCCTGAGCCAGGAACTAAGAAACTTTCATAGAACATTCTAGGTCCTAAAGCCAGGAGTCATGGTACACCTACTAGGACTCAGGAGAATGAAGCAGGAGGATGGCCATGAATTCAAGGCTAACCTAAGTTACAGAACCAGACACTGTTTAAAAGATTTTTTAATTTTTATTTTATGTGTATTTTGCCTGCACGTATGTTTATGCACTACATGCATGCGGTGCTCACAGAGGCCAGAAGAGAGCGTTGCATCCCCTAGAACTGGAAATATAGATGGTTGTGAGCCAACATGTAGGTGCTGGGAATCAAACTTGGCCCTATGCAAGAGTAACAAGTGCTCTTATCAGCTTAAACCATCTCTCCAGCTCCTCAGATTTAGTTAAAAACAGCAATAACAACAAATTAAAAAAAAAAACCCAACAACCCAAAGAAAAACAAAACAAAATAAAACAAAAAAATCTAAACCCAAAATCACAATGTTCAGGTGCTGGGAAAAAACTAACCATAATCTTTATTTTTGTCTCCAAAAACAAAGTCTTTTGATAACTTCCTCCAATCAAATAATCAATTACAAACAGCAGAGAAATCTTGGTGTTTTATGCAGTACCTAGTCCTTGGCAGTACATTATATATATATACAAGTGCTCAAATATCCTGAGTAAAACCGTGTGAATGGCTCACACTTGCACGGAAGGCTATGTCAGAACACTCTGGTCTCTTCTTAAGACAGTCACTAACATACAGTCACTGTCATTCACTGTAAGCCCACCCACCCCTGCCTGCTAGCCTCACTAGAGTACACCAGTTCCAGATGGACAGGCTCACCTGCGGTGATACCCTGAATGGGAGCTAGGCTACAGCCACAGAGGCTATTGCCTGCTTCCCACCTTCCAATCCTATCCTGAAGCTTAAAAAAATCAGAGGCTAGCCTATTTACCATGTATCTTGGAATCTGCTCTAAGCCTAGCAGGATCTCACTGCCACACAGGCAAAACAGGCTGTGGAAATGAGGCTCCTCAGTGGCCTGTCTGCTGGAGATGCTTCTCAGACACTTGTATCATCCCAGTTTACCCAGCTACATCTAATGCCTCAATAACCATAGCACAACTCAGCTGTTAATCACATTTACACCCAGCCCTGGGTTACCTGGAGCTTTCTGGCCATGGCCACCACTTCGTGGTCTGGAGGGTTGTACTTATAACAATTCGAGAACATTAACCGGATATCAGCAGCGAAGCCCTGTGCATCTGGGTACTCGCGACTGTCCATTTTCCTCTGTAACAAGCAACAGGTGTGAGCACTACCCAGATCATGTAGGGGATAGACTCAGAGCCTCAGAACATCTTCTGGCAACCAAGGCAACTGCCAGTGAGGACATCTGTCAATTAGCTTGGGTTGGAGTACTCAGAGGAGGGAGCCTTGGGAGGAGGAGTCGGAAGTGATGGTTCAACACGAAGCACCTGGGCTCCAAGGACAGAGCCACTGGATGAGGAAACACTGGGAGACAAACCAACCCTACAGCCAAACCCATCCTCATCTAGAGTTTCCAGTTCCACACAGCAGACATCACAGAAGGTTCTGGTGTTGGGGACTTTCGTGGAGTTTCAGGTAAAGACTCTGCCCATCTTGAGAAGTCCACTCAGTTTACAGAAGGAGTTTGCTTTTCTTGTGAGAAATCCAGGAGTTGTTACCAATTTGCCTCTTAGGAGACGCCTTATGTCTTGGGCCCAGAGGCAGTTCTCAGTCTGTGCAGAGATGGAGGGCAGCAGGGGCCTGTGGAGCTGATGCTGACGAATCATGTGAACCTGGTCACCCCGTAGCGAAGCCCCTCACACTCCACTGAAGTCTAGCCCAAGGAATCCCAGAAAAGGCAGGTTGGACAGGGTCACACAGGCAGGCACACAAAGCTGAGCGGGGCAGACTGGTAGGGAGTGGATTGGCATACTTTAAGCACTTATGATGTTGTGAAGTTCCTGTCTTTGGTCAGTGATCTAGGGGCTAACCACCCACTTTAACCCCTGATTGGACATGGACTGCCACACAGTGGAGGGATCTCAATAACAGACTTGGAGCCAAGTGATGGTGGCACATGCCTTTAATCCCAGCACTTGGGAGGCAAAGGCAAGAGGATCTCTGAGTTTGAGAGCAGCCTTGTCTACAAGAGCTAGTTTCCAGGACAGGTTCCAAAGCTACAGAGAAAGCCTGTCTCCCTTGGACCCAAAGACAGCCACGCTCCCAGCAGATGGCTGCTTGGAGAAAAGCCTCCTGGAGCTGGTATGACGCATGCCAGGACAATTTCCCCCTTAAGTTTTGTTATTAAACTCTGTAAACAGTGGATGCTGGAGAGATGGTTTGGCGGTTAAGGGCACTTGTTACTTTTGCAGAGGAGCTGAGTTCAGTTCTCATCACCCACATAGTAGCTTACAGCAATCCATAACTCCAGTTCTAGGGGACTCAACACCTTCTAACTTCTGTGGGCACCAGACATGCACATGGTGCACATACACACATGCAGGCAAACATGCATACATGCAAAATAAATCTAAACAAAAATGAAATTCACACCATATGAAGGTATTTTCTCCCTTTACTGCAGAGTCTTTAGAAACCAAGGCTGTCTTATACTCTTCTGCTATAGTCTTTTCATAGGGTGTTCATCAGACTCAGTCATCCAAGAGTCACCTGGGTAAGCACCTAGTGTCTCTATAAGCCTGAGCAAAGCACATAGCGACTTCTTAGTAAACTGAACTCCCAAATCTGCCTCATCTTGGACCCAAAGGAAAATGAGAGGCCAAGGCATCAAAGCAGTGGAACCCCAGCAAAGGTCCAGAACTCCAAACAATGGCACAGTAGTGGCCAGGCAGGATAAAACAAGGCTTCCAGCAGCTTTGGGGTTATGCAGTTCCCAGGGCCTGCTTCCTCACCCCAACCTTGCTAGACAGGCCAGTTGCTTACTTCATTTTTACTCAAATGAGCACTGGGCATAAAGTTGTTTAGGTGGCCAGGCCTGCCTGCCCCTGATATAACTACTAGGACGAAAAGCTTCTATTGGGAGATTCTGCCTCAGCTATGATGAGGTACAGCAGCTGACACCACTGCCTTTACAAGGATACCTGGATGATACATGCAACTATTCCACTACACGGCCTAGAGAAGGGGGCTGCCTGCCTCAACTGGCAAGGGGAGTCCCGGGGGCTACCACAGAGATTCCCTCCAGGAAGGGCAGAAGAACCAAGCCCAGCTCCAGGGTTGTCATCTCCCTGGCTTCTTTTCCCACAAAAGCTCAAGTCCATTTTCACACCCGCCAGGCCCTGATTTGGCTGGACACAGCAAAATCCAGAAGGAGACACTGACTCTGGGAAAACCTAGCAAGGTGATGGCACAGCTGAGCTTGTGACCTCAGTGTTTTGTCCATCTCTCTCCACTTCTCTGTCTGGGTGGGAGCAGGGCCCAAAAGTAGCCAAGCGCTAAGGCAAGGCCCATCCCTACTGGCCACCAGACTCCCACCTCTGCTGTGAGGTGCCTACATATCAGGGGTTTTGAGACAGGACTCTGTGTAGCCCTAGATGTCCTGGAACTTGCTATGTACACCAGGTTGGTTTCATCAGCCTCAGAAGCAGACACCTTTAGGAGCCCCCTTATCTGCTGATACAGAACTGGGGGACAGAAGGAAGAAATGAACCACTGATCTGTTTCACCAGAATAACTGACAATAGAGGTGCAGACTCGGGGACCAACAGGCTTTCTTCCCTGACCAGGTGAAGGTATAGGCAGGCCTAGTTCTCAAGGAGCAAGGGACATCAGCAGAACAGGATCTGGAGGAGTCAGAGTGGGCTCAATCAGGCAGGACCACCAGGGACATAGAGAGCCTGCTGGCTCTGACTATGGGCACCACCCTGCCCTCAACACCACCCCACTTACTTTGACTGTGCTGAGGTCCATGGGATGCTTGATGATGTCATGGTAGTCATGCAGTTCCAGTGCCTCAGCGTCAACTGGCTTGTAGAAGGGCCACGCATAGGCAGCATGCTTCTTGGACAGCATCTCCCGGAGGATGCTGTCACAGTGCCGCAGGTGCTCAGACAACTTCCCCTTTTTACCCGCATGCTGTGGGACCTCACCATCTTCCAGGTCCTTCTTGGGAGGTTTGATGGGGCGGCCCCCACTCTCCCTTCGGGCCACCACCTTGGCCTGCTTGGGCTCTGAAAGTGACGGGGGAGACTCGCTCCGGCTGGCAGTGATGGCAGATGTCGTAGGTGTGGTTGTGTCCGCTTTCCGCTTCACACCCTTTTTCTGGGACAACAAAGTAACAGTGAACTCCAGAAACAAGGAAGTGTACAGGGAGATGTGTCTCACAGCTGCCACACCTCCGGAGTGCAGACTGCCTGCCAGGCGCCAAGCTAGCGACCACATGCAGGGTCTCATTTCCTTCTCAGCTGTCCCCACAGTACAGAAGACACCGAGGCTCAGAGGGGCCAGGCCCACAGTCCAAGGTCACACAGCTGGCCATGGTGATGCTGGGACTCTCTCCCTCAGCCCTGAGGATTCAGGTGGGTGAGCATCACTGCCCTGAGCAGCGTGAGGTGCTGCAGGGAATTCACTCAACATCTAACAAGCACCACAGGTTGGTGCCAGAGACAGAGACTCCCTGCTTTACAGACCAGGAGGAAAGTGCCAGACCAGGCCCTGAGCAGGTGCTTCAAGGACAGACACAAACTGAGCGGAAGGAGGGGAGGCAGGAGGAGCATTCCAGGCTGGATGGGTGGGGGCAGCCTGACCAGGAGACATGAAGCAGTCACAGCAGTTACAGGCCAAGAGACTCCAAGGGCTGTAGGCATGGACAGACCAGGACTCTTATCTGGAAGGCACAGGTAGTGCAGAGGGCTGCTAAGCCCAGGAGGTACCACAGCCCGCCATGGGTGTACCTGAAGCCGGCTGCTAATAGCAGACACACATATAGTCTCTGCCAAGGGACCTAAGGGGGAAGGTATCTCTACCACAGCCTGAAGAGTCCAACCGTTAAGTATCACCAACAGAGTTGGGATCAGGGTTTGGTATAAAATAAGACCTGCTCAGCGGATTTCTCTTAGCTTGCTTAGGTGGGCAGAGAAGCCAACTAGAGCCACAAACTCACAGGCCAGGTGATAGCAACAGAACCTGCCATTGATAGCCCCCTAGTTACTTTCCCAGCCAAGCTGCCACCCTCAGGCTGACAGGGGCACAAATTGGCCATCCAAAAACATTGTTGGGCACCTACAGGATGGCAAGCACCAAGCGCGAGCTGCAGAGGACCTGGGGTGGGAGGGCAGACTCGCTGTGGCAAACAGCCTGGCCAGGCGCCACCGGGAAGTGCAGGCAGTGAAGGCCACAGGGAAGGGAAGGCAATGGAGGTGGCATTTTACCTTGGGAGAGCCATTTAACCCCTGAGCGCCCGTTTCCTCATCTGTAAGAGGGGGGACTACTGCCTGCCCCAGAGGGTCACTGTGAGGATCAAATTGAAGAAGATAACACACATGAGTGCCTGTTATGGGCCCTACTCAAAGCAGGAGATTCAACAGGCCTTGCCAACCCCACACCTCACAGAAAGCCCCCATTCCATCTAGGCCCAATTAGGGCCCGGCCAGGGCAGGACAGTGTCCACCGTGAGAACTCTCAGCAAACAACGGATAGCTGTCAGACCCTTACAAATCCAGGCTCGTGCCATTGGCTACCATTCCCCCAAGAATGACCAAAGATGACCTTACCCCGCTACCCTCACTACACCCCTCATACCTTCCTACCTTCCCCAATGGCTTGTAAAGGCCAGGGCTACCAGGCCGGAGAAGCTAGGGTTCAAGTCCAGCCCGGCCAGCACCAGCCATGTGACCTCTACCCCTGAGCCTCGGTCTCCTTGTCTGTGCAGAAAACCTTTCCAAACAGCTGCACCTAGAAAGGCAGTAGAGCGCCCACCTGCCCCAGTACTGCCCCTGCTTCATGAGCTCTATGGGGCTTGGACCTCCAGACAACCTCACCAGAGAGCCATGCAGGCCTCAGGGAAGCTCACCTTGACTACAGGCGGTGTGGGAGGGACCACAGGGACAATGGGTGTCGCAGGAGGAGGCGGTGCAGCAGCTGGGGGGACGGGAACCGATGTGACGTTTGCAGTAATAGTTGGTACAGGGGTGGCAGCAATGACGGGTGTCTGGGATACAGTTGGGGGTATGTTCTGGAAGGGGGTTGCTGGGGAGACCGAGGATACAGCTGCCACCTGTTGTGTACCTTCAAAGCAAGGACAGGGAGTTCAACTCAGTGGGTTCTGTGTTTCAAGAAGCATCTAAGACCATGCCATCCAGCCATAGCACTAAGGCCAAGATACCCTAGCTAGAGCAGTCTCTTCATAGCCTTGGAGCAGGAGTTGGCCCTGCTGCCTGGGCAATGTTCACTGAGTGACTGGAAGAGAAAACCAGAGGAAGCCCCACAGCTGGGTGGGGAAACCCACTCAGAGCCCATAGCTAACTGACAGACAACCCAGGACTTGGCCTTTCTTGTCCCTAGCTCAATTTCAGCCACTCCCTGCCCAGTCAGTCATTCTGTTCGACACATCTCTAGTCAATACCCATTCTCAGACCTGATTGGACCCCAGGTTGGCCTCATGGCTCTGGACAATGATTACCTTGACTCTCTCCAACCGAGAGACAAACTCCTCTCTCTAAACCAGACAGCAAGCAAGGCAAAGCCAATGCTAAGATCAATAAAAACAGGAGTGAAATGTAGGAGGTCAGCCAGACACGTGACAGCAGCTACAGCAATATTCTCCCTGTTCTAGACAGATCTGCACCTGTCAAGTTCATCACACCTGTCCTACCTGGCAGACAAGGAATACAACTCAGAGGGGTCAGGGAACTCACACCCACCCCTTCCACTTATAATCTCAGCAGAAAATGCCTGCACTCCCTGTCTGCCTCTTTTTACCTGCATTCTGGGCTGCTGCAGCTGGTTTCCGGCCTTTGCCCTTTGGAGCAGGGGGCAATAGTTCAACTTCCTCCTGGGGCATCTGGGCTACTTTCTGCAGAAAGATTTTCTCTAGGGCCTGGGCCATTAGCACTATGTCATCTGTGGGCTGAAGACAGAGAACCCAGGTCACTTGTCGTGAAAGAAGCTGTGCACTTGCAAAAGACACTGTAGGTTGTAGTACAAGAATGTGTTAAATTTTGTTAAGAGACTTGGCATGAAGAAAAGGCAAGAATAATATTTTTCAATGTGAAAAAAACTCAAAAGAATAAAATCAAAGACAAAGTATAAAAACAGCCGTCATAGCTGGGCGGTGGTGGTGCACACCTTTAATCTCAGCACTTGGGAGGCAGAGACAGGTGGATCTCTGTGAGTTCGAGGGCAGCCTGGTCTACAAGAGCTAGTTCCAGGACAGGCTTCAAAGCTACAGAGAAACCCTGTCTCAGGAAAACAAACAAACAAACAAACAAACAAAAAACCCTTCACCCAGCAAGCAGAAACGGGGCCTCCACAGCTGGGCTCCAACACCTTTTCTTTATTCACACTGCGAAAAGATCAAACCCTCAAGCAGGGGCCCTGCGAACTTGGCCATCTGCTCTGACACTGACCACTCTTCAGGGTTCCCAAGTGCTCTGTATAACACTTTGGGTGGCTGCCCACTGGGTCAGTCTACTTAACTACTTCCTCCTGATGGCAGGCTGGGCCCATAGTTCTGCACCCTTAGGATTTCTAAGGGTGGAGCTCCTAGGTCTCAGAATAGAGTCCATGGGCTATGCGAGTGACCTCTAAAAGCTGCCCAGTTTCCACTAATCCCCCAGCAGGCCTCTGGGATAGCATAGGGAATCACTGAGCACAAAGTGATTCCCTATGCCAGGACATTGTCTGCTGCAACCCCAAGAGCCATGGCAGCGGGCCTGGACTCACAAGGCACCTATAAACCAACAGCATGCAGGGACTTGAACCTCCCAGTGCCAAGCTTGCTCCCTCAAGCCGCTTTGGGGCTCCTGTTTTGTATCTCACCTTGTTATAAATATAACAGTTTGTAAACATGGTGTTGAAGTCCTGCATACACTCACTGGCACTCCAATAATAATTATTCTCTAGTCTCTTCTTGATAGTCCCCATGTCCATTGGGTTTTTTATTATTTTATGATAATCCTAGGGAAAAAGACGTCCAGAGGTGTTAATCAAAGAAAGAGTCAATTTTATTCTCAAGTTTCCCAAGCACAGCAAGGTCCTCCCTAGTCAGTTGGGTCCCAGGGCTAGGTCTAGAAGCCTAAGAGTAGATGGGGCCTGTGGTCGAGGAGACTCCTGGCCAGTCCCAAACTCTTGCCAAATCTGTTCTCATGGGTTTCTCCAGCAGGGGGCAGAGCCTGAGCTGGTTCACATGCGGACAGAGCCAAACTCCCTCTGATTCTAAACCTGCAGGTGTCCAGGGACCAAGGATGCACAGAACCAAATGAAAAAGCGCCCATGCTGGGCTTCTCGTTGCAACTCTCCAGGTATCTCTATATCCAGATAAAATTTGAGTATGCAATAAAGGGACCACCATCTAGAAAATGGGCCTTATTGCACACCTGGCATCTGACTGTGAGGAATCACGATGAGTGGGCAGAAGCACAGCCCCTAGTGCATGAGATAAAGATTTACATGGCCCTCTGACCCAGGCCCCCAATATCCTCTAGCCCAGTGGTTCTCAACCTTCCTAATGCTATGATCCTTTAATACAGTTCCTCATGTTATGTGGCCCCCCCCAACCATAAAACTATTTTCGTTGTTCCTTTATAATTGTGATTTTGTTATTTTTATGAATTATAATGTAAATATCTGTTTTCTGATGGTCTTAGATGACCCTTGTGTGGAAGGATCACTAGACCCCCAAAGAGGGTTACGACCCACAGGTTGAGAACCACTACTGTAGCCCCTTTTATTCTTTCACCATGGAAGCCAGAGGTTGTCCCCATTTCTTGTACCAAGGGCAGCCACCCTGCTAGACCAATGGCTTCCTGTGCGGCACTGAGGCACAGGCAGCACCTGCTGCATCTCAGACACCACCTTTGGGCAGGATTTCCAGGAGTGGACTAAAGGCCACTCACAGGCAGGTTCAACTTGATTGCGTCCACAGGCTGGTAGAACGGCCAGGCGAACTGATGTTTCCAGAGTGTCTTCACCACCACATTCTGCATGTACTGCAGCTGGTTAGTCTTTCGGCCAGGTTTGCTGGGGTTGGAGACCTCGGGTGGGGGAGGGTTCACAGGGCCCGGGGCTGCCGGGATCCCCGTGGGGGCAACCGCTGTAGTAGTGGACATCCTCTGGCAGCTTGATCACTCGCTGTCACAGCAGCAGCTCAGAGACGCACTCGCTATGGAGGCTTGGCATCCCATTTCTGGGTCCAGTCAGGCACCTGCAGAAGCAAGCAGAGAAGCTATCACTTGGAGAGCCTCTACTTCAGCAAGGACACAACTTTCCCTACTACCTCGATGTGTGGCTGTGGCACTCCTCAGAGCCACCCCAGCCACTGCTCTTCTACCTGGGAAAAATGCAAACGTGAGTCACTGGCTCCCAGAAAGGGGGTAGGGAAGAGTATGAAGGGCCTAGTCCCTTTCAGTTCACAGCCCTACCGACTGATGAGGGCTGGCTCAATTCTACCAGTCAGTCAACTACTTGGCTGTGGCGATGTTTAAACAAATTGAGGCCCAGAGAACTACAACATGTAGCTCAGCTGAGAGATGAGCAACAACTGAAGTTTGCGAACCTAAACCTAGCACGGGCAGCTGGGGCCCTGTGCAGGGCATGGCATGAGGTTCTAATGTAACCAGGAGAACCAGCTGGGGTTTGTGATGGCGGCCAGCTGTGACATGCCTGGCCCTCACCCAATCAGAATGATGAAAGAGGGTGACCACATCTGCTGTCTTCTGTGTCCCACAATTCCTGAACAAGACACATTTTGAGACTTCAAGTCCCCATCCTAGCTGTCAGGAATACTGGTCACATATAGAGCTGATGTGTCCATGACAGTTCTGCAAATCCCTGAGAAGCCGGGGTGATGTGCAACACTGGTAGCATGCTGGGTGTCCCCACTCAACAGAAACAGGACACCCCCACTGCATGGTGTCCCTGCTGCATGGTACCCGCATGGCACAGCACTGATAAGGGAGCAGCATCATTCGGCAGACACTCAACAGTGAGGATACTATAAAGCAGAGGTAGCACACAGTATGACTACAGGGTGTGGGGGGGTCATACAGGAGGAGCATTGCAGGAATATATGCAGTTCCCTCAATAGTCAAACTTCTTGCAGTCTGTTGATATGGACACAACCATAGCCTAAGACTCAAGGAGGAATGGCAAAGCCCTACCCACTCCCTGGGGTGAGACCCAGAAAGGAATAGCAAAGTCTTCTTCTGGTCCATATGTGCAGAAAACGTCCACCATAGCTTCCTCCCCCAGATACTTCAGGTCTTAAGTCACTCTCTTACAGCAACTACTCCTGCCGCCATCCGCTAAACTTGCCTCTTTGACCAAGCTGTATGCCATAAACCCCACCCCCTTGTTCATCTGTGAGCAATAATAACCCCGCCTCCCTGTTCAACTGTACATAAGGCATGTGCTGAAGTTCCAGAGTGCTGCAGCTTCTCCATCAAAAAGCCCAGTCCACCTGACTTTCAGCTGTTCCTCCACATCTGCCTGCTCTTTCTTCATTCCTTTGATGCCCCCAGTCAGGACTGTCCTTCAGACAGTTGCAAACACTCAGCAGCTGTCTCCCGAGAAGGAAGCTGGGTGGCACCATGTGGACCCACTTCCACTGGGAAAGGCCTCGCCCAGGCTCCATGCTGCATGTGGGGCCTGGTGCCTCATGTGAACCTTGTTATCTTTCAAACTTTCCTGTATGTTTATGTTTATCACATTGGAATGGTTCACGGCAACATCCAGAGGTGAGATGTTCAGCCAGTTCCAAGATTTACAGGTGGATGAGTAGGGCTGGAGTACTCTGAGACTGGCTGACATCCTGCTGGTCCTTTCAAGTCTCAGCACAGAGGTTGGTAAATGCTGCAATCTGAAGCTCCTCTGGAGAAGGCTAGCTGCTAAACATTTGGTAACATCTACTCTCAGCAGGTTCCATTCCTTCCACCCCAGCTCAGGGTAGAAAAGGTCTCAAAACCTCCATCAGACATGTGTCACCTGCCAAGCAGCTCTTACTGCCCACTTACTGCATCCAAGAAGAGATTCTAAGCTTTCTGGGGCGCCATCTGTGTCTGCACCGAGGCTCTCCAGGCATCATCCTGGGCACCCACAGCCTCAGGGAACGGACCAGTGGGCAAGAAGCCCCTCCAACCAGTGCCAACAACCATGAAGCTGTGTTCTCCCTTCCCCGTAGACCAAAGACTACCTATGCACAAGTTCAAGGCTATCTAATCAGTTCCTAACTCCAGACCACTTTTCACTGGGATCATCAGACAGTCCTGCCCTATACAAAGGAGTTGACCCTGTTAACATATTGGACCAATCACTTGTAGGTTCAAAACCCTGCTCCTGATTCCATACTAACCAGCAGAACCTGAGGTGATAGGGCCCTGGGATGGGTAGCTGCTGTAACCATGTCAGCCTTCATGATCCCTCAGGATATGGGGCTCATGTCTTCCCAAGGCCTTCTTGGAACTTCTGAAATGCAGCATGGGGCTGTAGGGTGGATGCTGAGGTAGCCATCAGGGTTATAATTCACCCTTGCTACCTCCCAGCCTCATAGTGTGTCCTTTCAACTCCCATGGGGCTGTGAGCCTGAAGTTAAGCACTCAGGGCTCAGGGAGCACAAGCTGGCTGTGACCAGTGAGGGGTGGAAGTTCACTCTCATAGTGTATGCGATTCCCAGGAACAAAGGCTGGTCCTGCTACTGTGTGGGTCCAGAGAGCTGCAACAGGAGACTGAATCTGACCTGGAGGACCCATGACACTGAAAGGGGTCTGAGACTGCAGGCTAAGGTACAGGGAGGCCTCTTCTGAGGAAGGTAGACAGATGGTCATAGCCCTTTCCATACCCAGGTACTGGGAACCACCTCCTGAAATGTCCTAATGCCTGGGATGCAGGAGTAGGTGATAGCAGGGTAACAGACAGGGAGGGTGGAAAAGCCAAGCCGCCTAGTTCCCAGGACCAGAGAGAGGGGCTGAGAGGTAGGATCCCAACCAGTGGGCACCTAAGCTCCCTGGCTGTGGTAGTTTGAATGTAATTGACCCCCCATAAGTTCATAGGGAGTGGCACTATTAGGAGGTATGGCTTTTTTGGAGTAGATACGGCCTTGTTTGGAGAAAGTATGTCACTGTGGGGACAGGTTTTGAGGTCTATTTTGTTCAAGCTTCCCTCAGTGTGACATTGAGACCACTTCCTGCTGTCTTCAAGTCAACATGGAGCAGCTCCTTTGCCAACACCATGTCTGCCTGCACGCCACCATGCTTCCTGTCATGATGAAAAATGGACTGAACCTCTGAAACTTTTATTTTGTTTTGCTTTTCGAGACAAAGTTCCTCTGAGTAACAGTCTTGGGTGTCCTGGAACTTGCTCTGTAGACCAAAGTTTAGTGGTCACTAAGTTTAGTGGCCTTAAACTCACTGAGATTCCCCTGCCTCTGCCTCCCAAGTGCTGGGATTAAAGGCATGTGTTACCACTGCCTGCAAAACCTCTGAAACTTTAAGTGAGCCACCCCAACAAAACGTTTTCCTTGTTAGAGTCACTGTGGTTATGGTGTCTCTTCACAGCAGTAGAAACCCTAAAACACATAGTAACCCCTATGGTGTGCACAGTACCATCCCTCTGTTCTGAGTCAGATGTCCACATACTTCCCTTCAAAGCAAACTAGTCTGGCATGTCTGGGCATCAGGGGCCACTGTAAGCCTGGCCTGACCTTCAGCCATCAATGCCTAGCAACCCTCAACCATCCAGACAGCAGTGCTGAGAGAACTGGACTGTCACACAGGAAATGCTGTGTCAGTGAGAGAGCCTGTGAAGGAAGGAGAGCCATGGGGCTTCCTTGAAAGCTATTTCCCATGGGAGAAACAACTTTCTGATCCATAGTGGGCCTAAGCTGCTTATCAGGGCAAAGGCTTATGAGGCAAAGGAGGCTTCCAGAAAGTACAACTGAGATAAGCAGGGCTGCTGTGGGCAGAGTCAGGGACACACCAGAGTACACAAATATGCAGACTCCCATCAATACAAGAAGCATGGGCTGCAGTGCAACCCTAAGCTCAGCCTCTAAGGTACCTCCAAGTGATAGGTAAGTCATGGTGACCAGAAATGCCAGCAGGCATTTCTGCCCATGGCTGGGGCCCTCTATCTCACTGTTGGATATAACCCTGCAATGCTCACAAGCCTACCAACCAGAGGCACCCCACCCTTCCTTGTTTTTGGTTCTGGCTCAAGAGAAGAGTCTCACTCTACAGCTCAGACTAGCTAATCCAATGATGTGCCTCTTGTTGGGTTACATGTTTCAACTGCCAACTTTTCAGATTTCAGCAGGCCAAACCAGTAGACACAAAACCCTATAGGGGTAGGGGGTGGTGGTCTCTCCTATGCAGTCCCTATCCTCAGGCCTAAGGGAAGATTCCAACACAGCATCACCTTCTTCAGGGAAGGTCGGAGGATCAAGAGTCTGCTGCTAAGAACTTTTGAATAGACAGTGATCCTGAAGCAGAGCCGTGGTACCCAGGGCTGACTTCTCTACAGAGTCCTAGATTCTCTCACTCGGGCCTCCAGGACAACACAGGTTCCATTCTGTAACTCCGGAGCGAGGCTCAGGATTGAAGCAAAAGGGACTCAGCCTGTGCCTTGGGCAGATTTTTTGGAAATGCTTGCTGGAGGCCACTGACCTCAACCTCGACTTAGGATCCAATCATCTTCAGGAAGCAGTGCTAGTTCTTTGGGGATGATGGTGCTGTGGTTGTGAATTTCAAAATCTCCTTATCATTTAGGGGTTTGCACTGTACATTCCATGAATGAAAGTGTCTGGAGTTTGATGGCAAAAATGGGAAAAGCAGAAGACAAATAGGAGACTGGACAAATCAGACAGTTTAGGACTGACAAGAGACAGGGCACTCCATCTCCACTCTTGTCCTAACCTACAAATCTGGACCATAAGCAAAAGAAGATAACCACATCCTTCAAGAAGCGGAGGCAGGGGCCAGGCCTCTGCTAGGCTAGAATGGAACTAAAGTAGAATGCCCAAGAGACCTCAGGGTTTCACTTTTTTTTTTTCCTGTAGCTTTGGAGCCTATCCTGGAACTAGCTCTTGTAGATCAGGCTGGCCTCGAACTCAGAGAGATTCACCTGCTTCTGCCTCCCAAGTGCTGGGATTAATGGCGTGCGCCACCACCGCCTGGCCTCACATTTGTAACTCACAAGGTCTCCCCTAAGTCCCACCTGCCACCAGGAGAGACACGAGGGGCTTTAGCTGCCTTGGGACTGCTCTCTGTGGTGCAGATGGTCCTGTGCATCTGGTGCCCATGGAGCTGGAACCCAACCTTCTAGGTGCCAGTACAAAAAGTGGCAAACATAGGATGGCAGGATCTCACACAGTAAAGGAGCTGGATGGACCTTGGCATTGACCACACAGCTCCACTGACAGTCAATGAATGTCAGACAACTCTTCACTGCAGACAACCCCCAGGGGTCTACCCTTCTACATGCTGTCTGTCCAAGCCAGCAGTGCCCTGATCCTGAGTAAGTCAGGACACAGCAGCTCCAAGCCCTCTAAGGACTGGTCACAGACGCTTCC